AATAATCAAGCTTATACTTTTATACAGATTTAACTCATGCAACTGGTTCATTGCAAATGAAAATATGAGGAAAACTTGTTCATTTTATTTTTAATAACTTCGTTTGAATTTTTTTTGAAAATTGTATCTAAGATTAAATAAAACACACCTTTTGTTGCTGTTGTTTGGAAAAATACATCATCATCTACAAATCCAAAATTGTCGTGCACTTTGGTGACTGTACCCGTGAATACACGCTGCTTTGTACTAGAATTATTTGATGACTGAACGCCAGCTGCTGCTGAAACTACCTGAGTTTGAAATGCAGAGGGATTTAGAGCCCTTGGATTAGGATAAGTCACTGCCCCAACTTGCTGAAATAGCGGATTTGAGGCAATTTGTTGTGTTAAACCGGCACTCACGGCTACTGAGGTATTCGCTAATTGCTGAAGTCCTAAATTAATATTTTGTTGTTGCATATTCATAGCATTTTGGAGAACTTGTTGATGTTGCTGAAGTTGCACCATGCCGGTAGCATTCATACCCCCAAATGCTCCTGGATTCATAATTTGTTGCTGAAGATTAGGATTCTGATTTACTAGGTTTGCAGGAGAACTATTTCGGGCCCATGGAGGATTTTTTGCTCCACCAAATGCACCTAAATTGCTCATTTTATTAATCTAATAATACACTTAGATTTTAAAGCACAATATAAATTGTAGATTATTAACAAAATTTCTACCACACAGTTAAATACACTCATAACATGATTGACCGTCCATCACACCGTCAACCGTAACACATAGACCATACCATAGATAATAGATACATAAAGGACCATAGCATGACCATAGCTGAGCATAGACTGTCATAGCCAAGTGTAGCTGTCAACCTACATCATAGATCACAGTCACGGATCATAGATTATCTGCATTTGCCAATATGTTGCCAACTATTGTGTGAACTGGCACCCGATATAAATAATCCATTGATTCAAACTTTAACAATAAATTGTGTGTCATTTGCGGGTTCTAAATATATGAGTATCATAAATGAGCGTCCATTAGTTCTGTTACAAAAAGGAAAACTGTTTCCGGTGGAGGTGGAAATTAGATATCAATTTATTCAAAAACTACTGTAGGTATGATAATTTAATTGACACCAATTAATTGCGTATCATTTGTGATTAAAGACTAAAGTATATTGATAAGCGGAGTTTATTTTAATATTATCTACTAGAAAAGATTACAAATAATACTAAATTTTACAATGGCATTGCTATGGTTATATTATCATCTATGATTTACCAATGGCGCATGCCTATTACTAATATCAATGGAAAAATGGTTTATAATGAAGGTTTATAGTGTTGGTACTTCTTGCTTTTATGCAATTAATCGATTAACAAAAATAACAAAAACAGGGGCTGTTAAACAAATAATTCATTATTGGTTAAGACATATTTGGATGTTGTTTCAGTATCTTTTTTGCTTTTATCCAAGTTCATATCCAACACAGGCACTTTTAACATAGTTACTAAGTATGGGAATACTCCTAGAAAACATTTTTATAGAAGCACAATTCGTAAAACTATTCATGTTGTTATTTGAATTCGTGGAATTTGAACTACAACAGGAAAAAACGGGACAACCATCTTGTAGGTTTCCTGTTCCTGTTTTACAACGGAAGTCGTAGTTGCAAGCAGACATTTCGCGATCAATATCTTCAAAATTTGAAAAATACCGCAAAAATACTTACAAAACTATTTAATTTATGTCGAAAAGTGTTTTTCTAACTTATAAGAAAATGCCACATGCCATGATAAGTCCATACTTGCATTACTATCTCGATCACTGATGACATCTTTGGTTAAAGTAATGTTAACTGAAACGCGCCATTTTCAAATATTCAATTTCGTTTTATAAAAAGTTGTTCAAAATTCTCATCTACAATACATTAAAAAACGAATGTAGTGTAATTTATACTGTAAAGATTTTAATTACTGTGTGTTGTTATTATTAGACATTCGAATAATTTTTCTTTTGTATATTTGTGAAAGTTTGTAGTTCAGGACTAGACACGTTTATATCCATATAATAAATAGTTAATAGATGTAGATGTAAAAAAAGATCAATTGAAATATAGTTNAATTTACCGGCTACTTGATATGGATAGGTGTAATTGTGCGTTATAAACATTGTGCAGCGTCTTAAATTATGTTATTTATTTGATTTGTACATATTTTTAAAACAGAAAGGTTTTGTTTGAATAGTCGTTTGCTTGCGAAATATTTAAGGTAGGCAGTGGCGTATCATTTGTACATTGAAATGGGATCATTTAAAAATTCAATTGTTTTAAGGAACATCTTTATAAAACCATTACGTAAATTAGTCAATAGAAAATAGTCTGTATGTATTTTGTCATTTCAATCTGCAAGGTCATCTTCAAAATGAAAATCTGTACTGTGGTTGTTTTTAATCAGTTGTGGTATATGTTTATCTTGTTGACTTAGCAACTGTTAAAATTTTACTTATTTATGTATTTTTTATAAATTTCAATTGGCAAGGTCTCTGTACTATGGGTTTTACGATCAATTGGGGGTATAGTTAATTATTTATCTTCTTGACTTAAGCAACTGATTAATTCTTAACATGTTATGTTTAGAAGAAAAAACATTGACGGTTAATTTTCAATTTTATGATATATTATTTAACTTTTAGCTGAGGAGCGATGTTGTTCCAAAAACTGCGGAAAACTTCAGGGCGCTTTGCACAGGCGAAAAAGGCTTCGGTTACAAAGGTTCCACTTTCCACAGAGTAATTCCCAACTTCATGTGCCAAGGTGGTGACTTTACAAACCATAACGGCACTGGCGGAAAATCCATTTATGGACAGAAGTTTGCTGATGAAAACTTTACTTTAAAACATACTGGCCCTGGAGTCATGTCAATGGCTAATGCTGGACCTGATACCAATGGTTCCCAGTTCTTTATAACCACCGTCAAAACCTCCTGGCTAGACAATAGACACGTCGTTTTTGGAAGTGTCGTCGAGGGCATGGATGTAGTGAAGAAAATTGAAGCTCTTGGTTCTCAGTCAGGCAAAACTTCCAAAAAGATTACTGTTGCAGATTGCGGTCAATTATAAGTGTTTTATTCAAATATTTCGAGCTTTGCCGTTTTTTCAATTTTTTTACTATATAACTTTTTGGTAAATTGATACACAACAAAACATAACTTTCAGTTTAATTTTGTCTTATCTGCAATAATCAAGCTTATACTTTTATACAGATTTAACT